GAAAGCAGTGAATGGATTTGTTTCAGAATCACAGGGCTGATAGAAGGAAAGAAATCACAACCTAATCCCATGAGAACAAAAATTAGGCAGACCAATAGGAATGGATCAAAATGGTCCCAATTAAGGCCAAGTGCAAAAGAATGACTAAAACAAAAGTATGAAATTAAAATTCCTCAAGTTAAGAAAAAGTAGATAATGAGGGTTGATTGCGCAGGTCATGTTCGGGTGTAGATTCCATCACCACTGGAATGCAGGCTCCGTTAAGCCAGAGTCTCTGCTGGTTTTGTTCGTTGCTGCCTCTCCAGCACCTAGAGAAGAGCCTCGTGTTAAGTGGGAATTTCCTTGATGCAGCAGTAGCCTCTGAGAACACGATGGTTGATTATGTCCATCTCTTTCTACGTCACATTGGTCTTTCCCACGGTGGTATGGCTATGAGGACCAGAACTGAGGAAGCAGATGGAACTTGCTTTATCAAAAAAAAGTAAATATACCTGAACACAGCTGTGATTTACCCAATGACCAAAAAGCCACAATAGATTTTATCTATATGTATAAGGTGGAGAAGAGAAGAGTCAAGAATGGGTAGCCAATTTAATTCCATACTAATATTGGATGATTTAAGAACATTGGGTGGCTCAGGTATAGTTGGTGCCCACTTAGTCTTTACATCCTTTTTATAAATTCATAGTACAATATATGCTCTTCTTACTTTATGTCTAACAATTCATACAAATTATTGCTTCTGTAGTTAGTTTCATATACTTTCATCGCATACAAAATCAGCACCCAATAAACATGTGTTGAAAGAATGATTACATGAAGGATGGCCTTCAAATAGTGGGTAGCATCTAATAGAAGACTCATTGGGCCCAGTCACTCCAGCAGAATGATTAGGCTTGAATCTGATATCTGACTTTAGAAACTTAAATAGAGTTAAATCACACAATAAGGGAGGCCGCCATTACCTGAGCCCATCAAAGACTTCCCAGCTATAGTTCTTAAGCACTGTCTTTTAATTTACAACATCATGTCAAAAGTGACACTACGCAGAAAGCACAGTATTGGTGGACTAATGAGAATCTAATTATATTTTTAATGGACTGTCAAAATAAGATTAATTTTTTTAATTGTAAAGTGCTGAGGCACAGGTGATTTGGGGTAGCAGTAGAGGAGGCTGGAACTTCCTACAATTATGGCATGTGCAATTTAAGTAATTAATTAGACAATTGTAAATGCTGTATCTGTATTTGCACTCCAAGTTGGGGAACTGAGTTACATCAAGTACAGTAGGAAATGAAACATCCCTTTGGATATAATTCTTATTGACCAGTTCAATGTTATTTCTGATCCATTGCATATTTTAGAAATAAAACATATTCATTCTCCAAACCAGGGAATGCAGATTGACAATTACTTTATTTTCTTGCCCCAATCTCCAAGTTTAAATAAACAACTATAAATACAACTTTTAGAAATATCTGATGCAGATTCCTTGTTGTTTAGATATACATTTGTCAAAGTAAATCCATGCATTAATGTGGGCATATATAGAACATCAACAAATGTTATTTTCATATAAATTTATACTTAAGGTAACAGTAGCTGAAATATTTCATCAAAGTAAACCCATGCATTAATGTAGGCATATATAGAATAGCAATGAATGTTATTTTCATATAAATTTATACTTAAGGTAACAGTAGCTGAAATATTTCTGCTACTTTATTGTAGCAGCCATGAGAGGACTAGTCATGACTTGGAATCTGTAAGACTTTTCTAAAATCTCAACAGTTTTTCAATAATACCACAATACCCTATTTGAAAGGCTATGGAGGGAATATTTAAAATTTTTAGGCAACAAAGTCTTCTCCTAAAGATTGTTCAACGGGAGAATGAAGCAGCTTGGCCAGGCTGGATATAGGAGGCAGTGCAAAAGAGAACTTGCTAGTTGACAAAAGAAAGATAAATCTTGGGGAAAATGGGTACACCAAGAATGAGTTGCTTGGTTTAAAAAAGGAGGCAAGTTGAAATAATTTTGTTATTTTTTTCTCAGCCCTCTCTGATTCTTTCCTTTTACGTTTGAATAATAAACTTTACCAAGGGGAGTTCAGGCATAAACGACAGCGATGCTTAGAAGACAGCAATGCAGCGTGCGGAGTTTCATTCAGCATGCTCTTCTCTGCTACGGATTTGGTTGTCAGGATTGTTACTTTTAGCCTTGCCATATTGCTGATGTGTACTTTTGCCTTTTGTTGCTTCTATCAATCCTTGTCAATTCTGAAGAACTTCTCTATTTCCAGAGAATTTACTGTGGCAAAAAAGCAGCTGACAAGCACTGGGTACATTGCACCCCGTGGGCACTCAATAAACACTTGTTTTCTAAGTGCCTGGCTGCAAGTGTCTGTGGAACACAGGCAATAAACCCACTGCCTTAAAAATAACAGATGGTGGTATCTGGTGTGAGCTCCCTCTGAGGCCTTGTTAAATACCTAACTGCTGTCAGGAGACATCTGCATCTTGTTACCTACATGTGGGAGAGAATGACTCAAGTCACACTTATTCCTAAGCCCCAGACCTGTATGAAGATTAGGAAAAGCCAACCACAAAGAGAGAATTAGTTGATAGTTGCCATCTGGGTTGCAAAAGGGGTGGAAAACCAAAGGCATAAGATGTTGTCAGGTAATAACAAACTCGGATGGAGTTTGATGAGTCAATCACTGAGTCAACAGGAATGCAAGGAGAAAAGTGAGGAAGTTGAGAGGATGAGAGCAGGTACATATTTTTAAAAAATCTATCACTCATATTCCTGCGAGAGTCATCATTCCACAGTGCAAGTCTGAGCATGCCATTTCGTTCCTTAAAACCCTACAATTAACAACAATGGAAATTTGACATGAATACTAAGTTTTGAGGTAAATGAGGCCTTTTAAACAATGAAAGAAATAAGGAAAAAACAATAGACTTAACTACACAAATCTTTAAATTTTTCTACAGAAAACATAAAGGTCAACTAAATAATGAGGAATGTATTTTCAGACACTCCGTGTTAAATTATTAATATATAAAGTACCTCTAGAAATAAGAAAATCACTAGACACTGGTACAAAAATGAACAAACAGTATGAAGAATAGAAAATAACTATTAATAATAACCTTTGTGTTCTTTAAAAAGAAGTTCAGAATATTTCCAATCAGAAGAATATAAATTAAAGCATTGTTACTTACCAAATCAGCAAAGATTTAAAAAAAAAATAATAAGACGTGTCACCCCACGTCTCACACAAGCCCCTCCACGCTGTGGGCCCAGGTCGCAGGCCCTTCCTTCCAAGTCACCGTCCAGCCGGCCTGGAGTCTGCCGTTTCCCAGAAGGGCCACGGGTTTCACCCGGTTGGGAGCACTCATGCCCGCCACCTCAGCCGAGAAACTTGCCCACCTTCTGCGGCTCTCCCAGGTTTCCTTTGCTTCGTTTTATGTCACATTTTATTAATTCATCATCTTCTCTTAATGAAATGATAGGTTGTTTGAGAACAGGGATGGTGTTTCCACCATCTCTGTATCCCAAGTTTCTGCCACAAGCTTGATAGACCAAACTGCTGATGTGAACTGAATTGAAACTTTTAAGCCTCTGTTGTGAGCGGCCCCAGTGTAATGTCAGCGTATGGCGGTGAAAACGTAACCTTGAAGCAAGATTTCTGTACTAATGTGTGCATATGAACACACACACACACACACACACACACACACACACACACACACAAATGTGTTCTCTCCAGGGGCCCAGTTTAGAGTTTTTGTTAAACTGAAGGTTTCATACATACAATCTCCACCAAAGTATATGAAAATATACAAATTCTATTATTTAATTACTGAGTATTTATAAATCTAAACACTCAAATCTCAAGAAACCTGATGGCTCAAATTCTTTCATTCTGAAACTATCACCAGGGAAGCCCTATTAGAAACACACTTACTGGCTAACTAAATAGTGCTGTGATAAAACCCTAATACTCAGTGCCCTAGTTTGCTTCCGTAGGCCACAGGACCTGCTTAAATATTAAGGAGATGTAATCAGTAATAGTCACCCACATTTTCCTTTACTTTTCCCAGAAAACAATTTTGTTCTTCCATAAAAATAAATTTTTGATCACAGGTTTTATTCCATGTAGGCCACCAAGGAATTTCCACCCTTAGTCTTTTTTTTGTTTTGAGACAGAATCTCGCTCTGTTGCCCAAGCTACAGTGAGTGCCGTGGCGTCAGCCTAGCTCACAGCAACCTCCAACTCCTGGGCTCAAGCGATCCTCCTGCCTCAGCCTCCCAAGTAGCTGGGACTACAGGCATGCTCCACCACGTCCAGGTAATATTTTCTATTTTTAGTAGAGACGGGGTCTCACTCTTGCTCAAGCTGGTCTGGAACTCCTGGCCTCAAACAATCCTCCTACATTGGCCTCCCAGAGTGCTAGGATTATAGGAGGAAGCCTTCATGCAGGCTCACCCTTAGCCTAGACATTGTTAGATTTTCAGATCAATCATCCCATTATAACCTAGGTGATATGCGTTTTAAGATGTGCTTGAAGAGAAGATGTGGTTCACAATCTCTTCCTTACTAGAAATTCCTGGTGAGTGTGTCTATATAAATTCGTATTCTATTAGTGAAATATGGTTCTGCGACATCATGGCTTTTAACATTTTAAACATTTTAGAGGAAAAAATTTCTAAAATATATTTTGTGGGGTTTTTTGTATTTGTAAAGTGGGAATCAATTAACTGAAATGTTCTTCACTAATTAGGGTCATCAGTATGAACATATATTGTTGTTTTGTGCCTAAATTTCCTAAAGTCGCTCATTAGGCATAAACTCGCTCAGGGGCATTTTAGGACCTGTCCCTACACTAAGGGATCCCAGATTACCGTGCTTTTAGGCCTTGTTCACTTTCTTTGTTGTCAGATGAAACTTATTTTTACTGTTCCTAAATAAGTCTCTAGCTCTCACCATTCCAAACTTGTTAAGTTGTAAATGTATTTTTCCATATTTCTAACTTAGTCAACTTTGGAGTGACTGAGGGTGGCTTAATTTCTCACTCTGGGTCCACGTGCCCCTTGAGTTTATCCAACACGTTTTCCAGAATATCTAGGATTGGCTGGAGCAGGTGGGTGCTTGGTCAGTTGGGTTCTTCAGGAAGTTGACCGGGATGATTTGGGGAGCCAAGAGATCCACTGGAGGGTAATTCCTGGGAAAGGACAGGAGGGAAGAAAGCAGGTTGGATGAGGAAGACTCACAGTTCACTGCAGATCTGAAAAATTCTTGGCCAATCCCAGAGGAAACTTCAAAACACACACAAAAAAATAAAAAATAAAAACCCACTAGAGGATTCCTATGTAGATCAGAAGTGGCTGGGCCCTAAATAGCCTGGCCAGTAAGGCTGGAGACTTCCTGAGAACACTCTTGCAGCTGAAAGGCAAGTTCGTTCTTAAAGGGAGATTTGCACAGTTGCCCCTTCTTGGCTGCCCTAGTGCAGAGACCATCTGCAAATACGTCTGACACTCGAGTTATTTCTACTCTTTTGCTGTTTCAAACATTGCAAAATAAATAATCTTTCATATAAACTATTTTTATGAGTGCAGATATATAACTGTTGGATAATTTCTCACAAGTGAATAAAAGGTTTAACATAGGTGTGATTTTGTGCATGTGGCAAAATTGTTCTCAGTAGGGGTTGGTTCGTTTTGCAATCCCACTGGCAATTTGAGTGCTTGTTTTCCCATAGTCTTGCCATTGAGAATGCTTATAGAAAACATCTTTAGGATTTTACCAATCTGAAAGATGAAAACTGTCATCCAAAAAGTTTTAATTTATTTTCACATCCTAAATTTCTATACGTATTCATTTTTGCTATTATAAATAATCTTAAGCATTTCTTCCCATGGATCCATGGATCGTCCTAAAGAAAGGAAGAGCCATTCATATTGCCTGGTAACATAAACTGTGGGGCGTGCACTCATTGGAATTCAGTGTAGCTATAAAAATGGTGAAGAAACTGTCTACACATATGGAAAGATATTCATGATACATTTTCAAGGAAAAAAGCAAGGTGCAGAATAGTGTCTATAGTGTACTACCTTCAATGCAAGGAAGTGGAAAGAGGATAAAAATATATTTGCATTTACAAAATTAGACAATGGAAGCACACACGTGAAACTAATATGAGTAGTTTCTTATAGTAGATGAGGCCAGGATAGGAAATATATGAAGATGTTTACAGAAAAGGTCTTTAGGATTTTGCCATGATGAGAGATGAGAATTGTTATCTCAGAAGTTTCTCATTTCTGCTGTTGTTAATAATCTTGAGTCTCTCTTTCAAATAGTCGGACCCATTTTTGTTTATTTTTTTGATGATTGGCTTGTTCAATTTCTTACTTTGTTTTTCTTTGGGGATTTTTTTCCTGCTGCCCACTACTTCCAACAGTGGTAATCTATTTTGATTTTTAGTAAAATCTACTAGTCTACTCCTCCAGTCCCTGCTTTTCCATTTAAGTGACACTGGGTATTTGGGAGTCAACATCTAGCAAATAATTTATTTGCCTTTTATGACAGGCTTTACAGGATTACAACTTAACCTAATGAGTTCACCACTTTGGAATGAAGTCTTTTGAACGTTTGTTTTGGTGATTCACTCATTAATATAATGTATACACCTTTTAAAACCTTCAGAAAGTATTAAACACTACCAAAGAGAAGCAGGGGGAAAGGTGACAGAAATTTTAGGCAGACAAGTAAGGAGAGAGGTAGAAATAAATAGGAGTTTTTACATCCCTAAAGTCACATTATTCTGATGAAATAGAATCTAGAAGAAGTCAAAATTCTCTCAATATATTTATTCATCCAGCCAGCCAAAAATAATTACTGAGCCCCCACCTGTTTCCAGGTGCTGTGATAAACACAGACAATACAGAGGCCTGCGGCATGGTCCCTGCCTAGCACAGAGTGAAGCAGACGCGTGTTGTACAGGTGGGTAAGTTCTGCAAGGGAAGCAGGCACAAAGTATCGGTGTGACACTGTACAGTGTCACCACAGTCAGGAACCAGCAAATGCCGAGTGTCAGAACCGCGAGGATGCACGAGTGTGCAAATAGCACAGTCGCAGTTGGCAACTTAAACGGAAATTGTAAGAGAAATGAGGCTGGAAAAGTAGAGAAGGTGTCACTTGTGTGTTCTGCTAAGGAATTTTATTTTTATCCTTAAGGCAATGGAGGGTTACTCATGGATTATAAGCAGGCTAGTGGCATGCTTTCTACAAAGACAGCAAAGCAAGGAAGAGGTATGGAGGGATGCCATTAAACTGCCTTATTCAACTTCACGTTTGTTATCACGCAAACCTCAATATGCCTTTTTCTGAAAAATGGTTAAATTATCTCCTAATGGTTAGTTCCAAGGTAATGGCATTTTAAAACTCTTCACAAATGGATCCTTTAACCTTGACCTTAGTAGAAATTAGCATCACTCAAGCTGAGAAACTTTCCTTGTCTGATGTCTTTTACTCTTACTCTGTCTGGAACTTTCCCCATTTCTTCTCTTCCAAAACATTTTTATTATTATCTTAAGAGTCAGGTTATAACGGAAGCTTTTTTTGTTGCCTCCACAATGATTTTTTTTATTTGCTATCTACTGGTGCCTTGTGTATTTGTAGTTTGAGAGAGCAGTTTCCAGCTACCAAAGTCTTTAAAATGTCAGGTTTACTCTTGATCCTCCAAATTTGGTTTGAATGCTTCTAAACTCCCACCTGCAAAACCAGAAGTCAATGGTTCCAGCAATGTTCTCTTTCTAACCCTGTGGCTATCAAATCCTTTTACCTCTGTCTTAGTTCATTTTAAAAAAAGGAAAAAGAAAAAGGAAAAGAGGTTGGTTTAGACCAGTTTAAACCCTGTAACTTGGAGTATGGGGGTTTTTTAGGTACGCCTCAGGAGTCTCTAAAAAGACGTGACCAGAGAATTAGGTTTCCATTTTCACATTTTACTTCCAAGTGAAGAACAGTTATTCTTTTATCTGTCTTATATATTCGATTTTGTATATGATATTTCTTTTGAAGGACACATTAGTCAGCTAAAAAGAATTTTAAAAGAATTTCAGCTCTCGTATCTTCTCTTCCATATTCCCTCTGGTTTTTATGTCCCTGATACTGTTCATGGTACTTATCCATTGGCATTATGTATCATAATGTTGCATCGATGATATAGAAAGTTATTCGGTAAATGCTTTTAAGGAAAGAAGGAATGAATGTATTAAGTGGTTATTAATCCTGTCACTAATATCTATGAATAACCATTAAGTTCCAGGAACTCTTCAAGACAGTGGAAACAGAATGTTGAAAACTCAGATAAATGCCTACTCTCCTGCAGGGATCAGCAGCAATACAATTGTGAGACACCTAGTATATTATGAATATTTTTTAAGTCCTTGTTATGTCGAGACCTATAGAACCCTGTACCTGTCCTCAAAGATTTTATAGTCTGCTAAGAGATAAACACGTAAATAGATTATAGCCATAAAAATTGGTACATACCATGACTGGCTTATTTCACTTAGCATGATGGCCTCAGGTTCATCTACCATGTTTCCCTGAAAATAAGGCCTACCCATAAAATAAGCCCTAGAAGGATTTTTAAGCATTTGCGCAATAGAAGCCCTACCCCAAAAATAAGACCTAGTGATGGGCGTGGCTATGCAGTTTATCTGCACAACCCATGCGTGTCTTCGTGGAGCGGTAAAGAAGACGAGCAGCCCTTCTCATCTGCCCCTTGAGAGCTCTAGTGCTCGACATGAGAGATCGGGGCCAATGGTTCTAAGGGAAATAGAGTCGCAAGACACTCAGGATGGAATTCAGGGTTTGGAGAGTTATGATGATGTTTCAGAAGAAGACGACTTAACTATATTTGAATAAATGTAGATTGTTGTACGGTACTTTAAAAAACTAAGCCCTAGGGTGTCTTCTTGAGGAAAAATAAATATAAGACCCTGTCTTATTTTCGGGGAAACATGGTATGTTATCACATATTGCAGAATTTGCTTCCTTTCAAAGGCTGGGCCAGGCATGGTGGCTCATGCCTGTAATCCTAGCACTCTGGAAGGCTGAGGCGGGAGGATCATTTGAGACCAGCCTGAGCAAGAGCAAGACCTAGTCTCAACTAAAAATAGAAAGAAATTAGCTGAACAACTAAAAATATCTAGAAAAAATTAGCCAGGCATGGTGGTGCATGCCTGTAGTTCCAGCTACTTGGGAGGCTGAGGCAGAGGGATCATTTGAGCCCAGGAATTTGAGGTTGATATGAGCTAGCCTGATGTCACGGCACTCTAGCCCCAGCAACAGAGTGAGACTCTGTCTAAAATAAATAAATAAATAAATAAATAAATAAATAAATAAATAAATGCTAAATAGTATTCCATTGTATGTACATACCACATCTCCTCATCCATTCATTCATTGTTGGACATTTATGTTTGTTTCCACATCTTGACTATTGTCAATAGTGCTGCAATGAACAGTTGGGTGCTAATATCACTTCAAGATCCTGATTTCAATTCTTTTAGATAAATATGTAGGAGTGGGACTGCTGGATCCTAAAGTACTTCTATTTTAATTTTTTGAGGAACCTCCATACTAGACAAACACTGCATGATTCTACTTATGTGAGGTATCTAAAATGCTCAAATTCATAGAGTCAAAGAGTGACATAGTGGTTACCAAAGGTAGGGGAGAGGGAAGTGTGGAGTCACTAATGTGTGGGCCTCAAGTTTCAGTTTAGTGAGATAAGAAGCCCTAGAGACTGGCTATGCAACATCCGCCCCTACAGTGTGCAATAGAACACTCGGAATTTGTTAAAAGGGTGGCTCTCATGTTAACCTGTCCCCCCACTATAAAAATATCAGTAAGTACTATTATAGAGCTATGAAGAAAGTGCTGTGGTATTCAGAAAAAGGAGTTACTGTCTCGCTGAAGTAATAAGAAACATTTCACAAGGGAAGCTATGAACTGAGTTCTGAAGAATGAATACGAGTTTCCTGACCAGAATGGATCCTAGGAAAACTACGTAGAGGGAACCGAGAGGAGGAGACCAGGTAGCGCCAGGTGTCATGGAGGATTTGGTGAGGCTGGACCACTGGGCGCATTGATGACGGCACGTCAAGAAAGAAGAATCCAAAGTCATTTTTGCTTCACATTGTCAATGTTCTTTTC